GACCGCCGCCACCGCTGCCATCCACCATCTAATTTTGAGATACCTCATTGTCAAAAGCGCGAAAATGATTTTGAGATGCAAAAGGACAGGAGAGCGACAAGAGAAAGAAGACGAAATGGAGGTGGAATTCATGAGGACATGATGGGAAAATGTCCTCTCTTACACATAGACCATGAATTAAGTGAATTATTTTTATGAAAGTTTAATTTATTTTTTTATAGAATCTCTCATCATCAACTAAAATGGAAGAATGTGTAATATCTTATTTACGTCTTTAACGCATAGATTTTGGAAAATTACTCCTCCTATTCCGTTGTTACCCCTTCTCAAAATTAAATTTAGTTTTCTTTACAGAATTGTTTCGCTGATAACTCTTATGTGGAATCGTCGAGTTCTAGAGATTTGATCTACTCGAAGAGAATATGGTCTCTTAAGATACCAAACAAAAATAAAAGTATTTATATGGAGATTAAGTTGCAATATTCTACAAGTAAAGCATAATCTATTTGCTCGTTGAATGTCAATAGATCCACATTGTGTAGCTTATGATAAGGTTAGGGAAGATCAATATAATGCATTGTTCTGGTGCAGAATAGCAAGAAATGCTTGGTTGGGGGCTGATTTGTCGTGGCTTTGTAACTATGAAAAGCAATCTCGTTTTTTGGATTATATGCAATCGGTGACGGAGGCAATGAGACTAGAGAACCTGGGATGGTTTTGTTGTGGCTGTACGGATGCAATGAAATGATAGAAACCAAGGTGTTATGGGGAAGGATAGAACGGACGGGTCAAGAATTATGAGAGGCTAAGATAAGATATGCACAGAGTCTTTTACAGCAAATATTGAAGCTAAAGGCCATGTTCATATCTTGACAGTAAACTCAAGATGACCTCCTCCTCTTGTTAGTTTGTAAAAAATTAATGTGGATAGAGTATGGAGAGAGGGCCCACATATAAGAGGCTTGGAATGTGTAGTGAGGAATGTGAATTGTGGTTTCATGGCCAGATTTTCAAAGAGCAATACAATAGCTGCTGAGGTTGTAGTATGTGAGGCTCTGGCTGCAAGGGATGCGCTAGCTTTTGCTCTTGATATTGAAGTTTCAAAGGTGGCTCTTGAAATGGATAATTCAGTGGTGATTAATGCGATCAAGTACTCAGATAGGGAGTTATCGGAGCTCATGGGAATTTGTGCAGGAATTAAAAGGTTGGGATAACATTTCGAGATTTAGCATGTACTTAAGAGTTGTAATAAAGTTGCTCACATCTTGGCCAAAAAAGATTTAGATCTCTCAAATATGATTGTATGAATGGAAGAAGCACCTGATGATATTGTGCATCTTCTTCTTACTGATTGTAGTAATGCAGTTTCTTAATTAATAAAATCTCCTATTTTCCCATAAAAAAATAAATTTAGTTTTCTGATTTAGACATCTAGAAGAAACAAGAAAAAATAACAAATACAAACTCTTCTATAATGCAGTCATTCATAACGAATATCGCCCCTTCAAACCATCACTCCGCACAATTTATCAAGTTGATTATTATTATTATGGAAATAAACATCTCACTCACACAATTTACTCATACTGCATATAGATAAAAATCATACAGACTTCTTTGGAGTTGGGAGAGTTCAGAAATCCCCATTTGGGAACAGTGGTGAAGCAACAAGAGACCAAACAAAAAGACCAGAAGTAAGAAGTATCGGCGAGTACATATTGGCGTGAGGGAAGATTAGATGGAAGAATGATACTGGCTTTGCTTCCTCTTTCTTCCTGTTCTCTTGATCCTCCAACCCATCAAAGGGCAACAGAGGCTTATCCGAACCTAAAATAAGGGAACATGAGTGTTTATAATCTAAATTACGAACAGGGTTAACTGCAGATAGAACCCCCACAAAAACGTACTATCACCGAATTATGGATAGACTCCTTGTTGTTCTATTGTTGTTGTGGATAAACCCCCTTACTACCGTCTTTATTGTTGTAGATAGACCACTTTACTACCGCTAATTGTAGATAGACTTCCTCTAGTTCTACTGTTGCACTTGTCCTCATCACTAGTATGTAATCAAACTGTTCATAAACAGCACAAAAATTTACAGCATACTAATTGCATATTGATGTTAAGCTTAAAGAGAAAATATTAAAGCAATAAAGTATTTCATGTACACTTATTAGCAGAAAAATGTCAACCGTGTAGTTAGTCAACTCAAGTCAAGTTTTTAAACAACCTGACAAGCAGAGGATATAAAGTGCCTAAATCTTTTCGGCAAAATGATAACCCGGATGTTGGGTTCCATGCCTTGGGTTTACTCACGATGACACCAAGGTCTTAGGGTACGTGCCTTAGACTTAATGAGGGCGCTAAGGTCTTTTCGCCCTGCTATAGTAGTCAAGTTGTAAATGCGGGAGCCGACCGAATGGTACGAGTGCCTTGGGTTTATCCTGAGAAGGCGCCAAGGGCTTATAATTCCTGCATATATTTGGCACCATGAGAGTGCGACACAAGAGTCAATTTCAAAAGGACTTCATTTATAATGAATGAAATTTTGTACATAATTATTGAAAACTGATCATGTTGATGACCCCGTTATGGCTGGGCTCTGAGGGTCATCTATCCTGGTGTGGTCAAGGACGAGGCGACCGTGAGAGGGATCTCCTGCTAGACTTAGCTAGGGCAGCTTCTCTCCGGTCTCTCTGAGAGACAAGCTTCTTTAGATACCCTCTCTCGATTAGGTCCTCAATGTCCCTCTTCAGGATACGACAATTGTTGGTGAGGTGGCCGTGATCTCTATGGTAGTGGCAATACTGCCGGGTATCTCGGCTCCGTGAATCCAACTTTATCTCAGGAGCATGCTCCTTGAGGTACCCCTCCTTTTGGACCATAACGAGAGCTTCTGCGAGGGAGGTGTTGAGGACAGTGAGAGCGGGCCTCGGTGCTAGGTCCCTCCATCGGTCCATCCTGTCGGACCGATTTGAGCGGGAGTTGATTCTCACGGGGTCTCTCGGCCACTCCTACCTAGCAAGGGGGCCTCTAGCTGACTCTGGTGTCGACGCCACCACCAGTGCTGCTGTTGGTGCGGGCAATGCAAGTGGTGTTGGTGCTGGTGGTGGTATGGCTACTACTGCTGAAGTCGTAGCTGTGGAGGTCTCTGTGGCCCTAGCTAACGCCTTATAATCTCAGGCATCCTCCATGTCCATGTACCCATAAGATTTGGCTATCAGCTATTCATAATTAACGACTGGCTTCTTGGCAAGTGAGTCGGCCAATTCGTTGCACTGCAAGCCAGCCACAAGGGCGGAAATAGCAACCACACTCCTTGGGTCATTAACATCTAGCCTCTTTGCCTGGAACCTCTTGATGTAGGCTCGAAGGTGTAGGCAAGAAAAAAATGCCTTTATTCCTAGCAAAGAAGATCTAAGTTTGCCTACAGGCTAAAATTTGTCTGAAGTTCGCCTAAAGGCTGAATTGCACCTGAACATTGAACTCCGCCTGCGAAGACTTAAGTTTGCCTAAAGGCTGAGCTTCGCCTAAAAACTAAAGTTCACCTGCAAAGGAACACTGAACTTCACCTGCAAGACTGGAGTGCGCCTGAGCATTGAAGCTCGCCTGAACAGAATCAAGTTCACTTGAATGCTTGACTCCGCCTGAACATTCAAGTTCGCCTGAATGAAACATAGCTAAGTTCGCCTGATAGCTTAGCTTCGCCTGAATGATCCATGTTGATCCAAGCTCGCCTGAACTGGTCGAGCCTCGCTTGATAGCTTCGCCTACGAGGTTCATCTACATGTTCTAACCTTGCCTGCAAGCTTGCCAAGTTCGCCTGAATGCTAAAGTGCGTCTGAACGAAGTCCGCCTGCACTGCTTGACCAAGTGAGCCACTAAAGCTTAAATTGTGGAAGCGGTTGCACCCACTTACCATGTTCCTAGGAAGTGGTTACAGGTCATTTGTCTCTATAAATAGCCACTGATGGCTACAAGAATAGGGGCGGGCATTAGAGAGAGCATTGAGATCCTTTGTCCACTCGGCCTCTAACTTTCAAGCATCCTAGCTCGGGTACTTGAACTCAAAAGACCAAACTTCTACCACACGAGGAAGTTTACCCGCAACCTTGTTCGAATCATCAACGGGAAGCAAACTTGACTCAAGCATCAAGCGAAGCATCCTCTCGCCATCCAGAACTCACGTTAAACAAAAAGAGAAGTCAAATTAACCTCCTCTTCCTCTGTACTCGAGAGAGAGAGAGAGAGAGAGAGAGAGAGAGAGAGAGAGAGAGAGAGAGAGAGGGTAGTTACGCCTCTCTACCCGCGATTGTAGCACGTCGGTTACATGCTTAAACCCTATAAATAGCCATGGATGGCTACAGAGGAAAGGGTTTGGACTTTTAGAACCTCGAGAATCATCAGAAATCAGAGCTCCTGCGTATAGATCTAGAATTCGAACCTCGATTCTAGTATTCTAACGAACATCAGAAGCTCCAGCAATTTTGTTCTGATCATCAACGGGAAGCAATCTCGACTCAAGCATCAAGGAAAATATCCTTTCACCACCAAAAGCCCACGTTAAATAAGGAGAAGCTGAATTAATCTTCTCTTCAAAAGAAAGAGAGAGAGAGAGAGAGAGAGAGAGAGAGAGAGAGAGAGTGATTGTAAGGAATTCTTACCAAGTGATAGAACACATTCTTAAAATAAGAATCAATCGTATATTCTTTTTTTCGACCCTACAGAAGATGGCGACCACAGTAAGAGAAACTAATCTTTTAGACGAGATAGTGGTGGAGCAATTTGACGAGGTTGTTGCAGGGTTTAATGTTGAGTCCCTCGTCATTGAGTTTGATCAAGCAAGTATGAATAGTACTTATCT